GTATACTTTTCAGATATTGCTACAACGTCATTCAAGTCTTGAGTATGATGAGGTTAAAGGTCAGAATTTAATTTCCTATCTCAAGCTGTAATTTGTAGTGAGATTGTTAATGAGGCAAATTTGAATAATTTATTGCATAACAAATAGGTCATATTCGTATTTAGTAGGATGAGTTTTCTCACAGTCAAATGAGCAGGCCCATTGAATTTCAATTAGTCTCGCCTTTCTAAAAGATATCTCTTCCAAAGTAGTTACTTTGGAAATTGCATTTTTGTTGTTGTAATATTGGACTAAGCTAGTTATTTTTATAGTAAATATGTCTTATTCAACATCTACTTACTATGGATATAAGTAATGAGTTCGAGTGTAATGGCAAAAAGTGCATATTGGCCTCATTGATGATCCTATTAAACTGCAGTCGAATCCTGTTCAGTCGGGATGACAGCGGCGTTGTGCAGGCATGTCTGAGTCCGGTCAAGTGGGATTGTGCAGCCGGAATTGTTGTTCTGCCGGTGACGTCTGTCTTTTGTCCACTTTTCGCCCACCCTCTTCATCCACTGCACCCACTCAACCACGAGCACAGCCTTCTACCAATGGGTACCATTCTGTCTGGGCCTACAGGCGATCCTCTTCTTTCTGCCCCACTTGATTTGGCGCTCATTGGCGGTGTACGTGTTCGGAGAGGACATGAGTCTGGTGATGCAGCAGGCCTCGATTGCCCGAAAAGCCAAAGACGAGTTGGTCTACACACAGACAGTTGAAGGCATCGCGCAACAGCTGTTCCGGCTGTCGCGGGAACAGCTCGACAATCGACAGACGAAGTGGGCCGTCGGACAGCGCTGGGTCGTCTCGCGCCGTTGGTTGCCGGGCGTTCAGTTAGTCACGATGAGCAAGCGATTGGGCACTCGGGTTGTCGGCACCTACCTCTGCATTAAACTGCTCTACGTCGTCAATCTCATCAGCCAGATGTACCTGATACAGGCCTTCCTCACCATTGGACGCACCAGCCTTCAGGTTCGTCCATTCTCCCTTTTACTCGCACTCGGTTTACC